CCCCCCCCCCCCCCCCCCCCCCCCCCCCCCCCCCCCCCCCCCCCCTTACACTTAGAAGGACAGAGGCTTGGGTCTGCCTCACCTTAGAAATCCTTTTCTGTGGGGCTCAGTGTTCAGTGGCAGGTGATGATTTATACAATTGCTGTTTTCTACGCTGATTTCCTTGGTTGTGACTAATGATGTCACTGCCAACTTGAGGTCACTGATCACAGAGCTAGGAAGAAATGGACCAGATGTACCCTTAAGCCAGGCATCTCGTTCTACCCAAGCCCCACGTTCTCTCCTGTGTCCTCCTGACTACGTGAATGGCAGTGTCCCTAGCCTCTAATTACAGAAATTCCCCAAGCCAGGCTTTCTGCTACTCTAGGCCCATGTGACCGACCCTGAGACCCGGATTCAACTTCCGGTCCACAAATCAATTATCTACCTCCATGGAGGTCCCCAGTTCTCTCCTCTGGTGAGGCTCTCCGACCCTCAGATTTACTCCCAGCTGTCTCAGGAGATTTCCGAGTCCCAGTGTCCTTGCTTGGGTGTGCTCACTGGGTCACAGGGTGGAATGTGATCTGTTACCCATGAACACAAGCCACTATTATTTCCTGAGACCAGGGTAGGTAAGGCTGGCACCTTCACCCTGCAGTCTCTCTGTCAGTTTCCTCTCTTCTGCTTCTCTTCTCCAGGTATATCTCTTGGTTTAACTTCTCATTAGCTTCCTCCCTTCCCTTTTTCCCTCCCTTCCCCCTCTCCCTCTCTTCCTTCCTTCTTTCCTATGTTTGGTGCTGAGATGAATCCAGAATCTTATGTATGCCAGGCCCAGACTCTGCCATGAGTTGCTGCCAAGATAAGGAACCTAAATTTTCAACCAGAAAACGTAGGTAGTCTGACCACCGCCCCTTGAGAAACAATACAGTAGCTGTTAGGTACCTGTAGCCACTGACACTTGAAACGAAGCCAGTGTGAACTGAGATGGGCTATAGGTCCAAAATAAACACTGGCTTTTGAAGATGAAGGTTCAGAAAGAGGAAAAAAGAAAGGAAATCTCGCATTTATTATTGAGTGTACTGGCATGACAACTTTTAGATATGTTGGTTGCAAGGTGCATTATTTTGTTTGTTTTGCTGTGTTGAAGAAGAGTTTTACTCTGTAGCCCAGGTTGACCTAGAAATTCATTACGTTCAGACTGGCCTTAAGCTTATGCCAGTCCTCCTGCCTCACACTCCTAAGTGTTAAGGTTACAAGTGTGATCTACCATACCTGGCTGGTTTTGTTTATTTTTAATTTTTGAGTACTATTTTCTCTTTTTGTAATTAGATATTAAATAATTTTAATTAAAATATAAAGTATTTTTATTTTTTACATTTTTGTTCTATTTTGTATTTGTATATGTGTGTAGGGCGGGGCACACCATGCATGTAACAGTTACAGGAGCTGTCTCTCCTTACGCTCTATAGGTCCTGGGCTTGAGCTTAAGTTGTCAGGTGTGGTGGCAAGAGCCTTTACCCCCCACCCCCGAGCCATCAATGACCCAGTTTTGTCTTGTTTTGTCTTTTTGAGGTAAGATGTAGCTCTGAAGCCTAAGTATTTTTTTGTTTTTTGTTTTTTGTTTTCTTTCGAGACAGGGTTTCTCTGTGTAACCCTGGCTGTCCTGGAACTCACTCAGTAGACCAAGCTGGCCTTGAACTCAGAAATCTGCCTGCCTCTGCCTCCCAAGTGCTGGGATTAAAGGCGTGTGCCACCACTGCCCGGCCTCCAAGTTATTTTTTAATTCACTTGTCCCCCAAGCTGGCCTTGAATCTGAGGTGTTCCTTTCTTACTTAGCCGCTTAAGTTCTTCCATGTCTGGTTTAAGTATATATTTTTTAAAAATAAATTATTTTTTCTCTTTTGGTTTCTTTGTATAACATCCCTGGCTATAAACCAGGCTGGCCTCAGATTCACAGAGATTCACTTTTCTCTGCCAAGTGCTGGGTTTAAAGGTATGCTCCACCACACCTGGCTAAAATTTAAAATTTTTAATTTAATACTTTTTTGTGTGCTGGGAACTGAACCCAGGACATCACTGCATGCAAGGCAAGCACTGTATGATCTGAGCTATATCCCCAGCCTTATATTCTCAAAAGAAAAATTTAGTTTTGTGTGTGTGTATGTGTGGGGGGTGCTTAGGACCCAGGACGTTGCCTCCCCAGTGGCGGCAGATCTCGTCATATCTGTCATTGTAATTGGTCCTAATAGCTTCCACCAGCTTAGCCAGAGCACCCTTATCTTCCGAGTTAACCTGTGTGAAGGCAACAGTGGTGCATGTCTTCCTGTGGACCAGGTGCCCCAGCCTGGCCTTTCCCTTGATGATGGAGTAGGGCACCCCCATCTTTCAACACAGGGCAGGCAGGAAAACCACCAGCTCAATGGGGTCTACATCATGGGCAATCACCACCAGCTGAGCCTTCTTGTTCTCCACTAAGGTGGTAACTGTAGTGACTCCTGCTCGGAGGACAGGTGGTCTCTTAGTTGGGACGTCTCCTTTGCCAGCAGCTCTCTTCTCAGCACGGGCCAGTAGCCTTTGCTTCTCTTGCTTTGTCTCTGGGCTGTACTTGTGGGCAAGCTTAAGCAGCTGAGTAGCTGTTTGTCTGTCCAGGGCCTGGGTGAACTGGTTAATGGCAGGAGGTACTTTAAGCCACTTACAGAGGATGGCTCTTTGCCGCTGCAGCCTGATGTAGCGGGGCCATTTGACGAAGCGAGTTAGATCTCTTTTGGGCTGGATGTCCTGCCCAATGCCGAAGTTCTTGTGCCTTTTCTTGAACAAAGGATTGATCACCTTTTTGGCCTCCTGTTTTTTGATGACAGCGGGGCCAGGGCCACCTTCTTCCCTTTGGCCTTCTTTCCTTTGGGCATCTTGCTCAGCTGGAGGAGAGAGCAGTCCTCATTCTTAAAATCAATTACCATTTGTTTTTGAAACATTTTAGGCTGGGAAGTGGCTCTGCAGATAAAAGCACTTGTCATACAAGTATAAGGACCAGAGTTTGGACCCCCAGCACCTAGATAAAGGCTGGTTGTGACTCACCTGTAATCCCAGCATTGGGGTGGCTGAGACAGAGGAGTCCTTAGAGCAAGCTGACACCCAGTGTCAATTTCTGGACTCCATATGCACACGCGCATGTGCACATCTGCTAATATGCATATACACATGCATGCAATACACACACACACACACATTTTAGGTGACTGCTAGAAACTTTTAACTGCAAATATGGATTCAGGTTCTGGACCATACTTTTCCCTCCGTTTTATATGTGCTGGTACATGGACAGCTCCTCCCCGCCCCACCACTCTCAGTGCCCTCCCTGGTCTAAATGTTTGATCTAGATCTACAGAGGCTCTAAGTCAGAGCACCTACTATTTATATTTTTTGGCCTGAAAGTGGTAGGTGGTGTCCAATGTGAAGAGGGGAGGGTTCTGGGTAAATTCGTTCCAAGGCTGTGGAGTTTTTCCTACTGTGTTAGGCCCTGTTGTATTGAGGCCACCTGTTGGTCTTGAGTGACTGGGAGTTACCTCACACCCTCCCACACCAGTTTCAGTTGGAGAGGACAGAAGAAGAAAGCTGGGGGCGGAGGGACAAAGAAGAAAGGAAAGAGGCAAATGAAGGAATGTTTCAAGGAATCTCAAGGATACTGGGAGAGGAGAAAATAGGAACCGGAACCACAGAAACTGCATCTTGGTTGTGCACGGAACACAGGAAGGAGGGATGTCCTCAGAAAAGCATCTGAGGGACTAGGAGAGCGGCTGTGTGGTGGCACATGATTAGCATACACGAGGTCTTGGGTTAACCTCCAGCACCTAAAACAAGAGATAAAAAATGAGGTTAACCATAAGATCTATGCATAAGTTACATTCTGAGGAAGATTCTCTCTTGCACAGGGCTCCAGTAAGCAGGGGCTTTGTCAGGGTTCATGCTGTGGTTCCAGAATCCCAAGCCTGACTTCCCAGGGGTGTCACTGCTGTGGCAGTGAAGCCCAGTTCACCCTGATCAAGACCAAGAATCGGTTTAGGCATTATGGGATGCATTTGATCTGCCTCATCTGTAGTGTGACACAGTGCTCTTCCAAACCTAGCCTCTCCAGAGAGTCCCACAGCTTCCTGCTGAGTTGGCTCAGCTAGGGACAGAGAAACCATGAGCAGATGGAGGGCCAGGCTCTGGCCATGATGGTTGAGCCCCCAGGGCTTCAGGGGAAGTCACCTGGAGGATGGAATCACAATGGCCAACCTGGCTTTGTGATCTGGTCAACAAATTAGTGAGTGAAAGCTGGAGCCCAGTGGGGCTTCGTCCCTAAAATGGGGAAGATCAGGGAAGTGGCGGATGCCATTAATCCTGACATGCAGGAGACTGAGGCAGACAGAAATCCAGTTAGAGGCCAGCCTGGGCTACATAGCTAATTAAAGCTGGTTTGAGGGATATGGTGGAACTTTGTCAAGGATTGAGGATGTAACTGGGTGTAGCTTCATGCCTAAGGGAAATTCCTGGGTTTCATTTCCAGCCAGGAGCTTTTCTACCTAAGCTGACTCCCTGCTGTGGGGCTCTTTCCCCCAACCAGGCCTCCTCAAGGAGCTGTTCTCAGAGCCACTGTAAGAGTAACCATCCACACTGTGGGAAAAAGCTGCAGGCTGTGGACAGAAGTCCTGACTGCAGGATGCCATGCTAGCAATTACTCACCCGAGCATGCCCTGCAGCCTGGGAGCCATCCTCTCCGGGAGGGATGCAAAGAGCAGTGACTCACGGCTGTGGGGCTGCCAAGCTGCTCTGCTTTTCTTTTAGGTCTTGACCCTGCAGGCCCTTTATTCAACGGGAGACCTCCTGAGGACAGATTAGATCCCAGCGATGCACAGTTCGTGGACGTCATCCACTCCGACACCGACGGTAATACTCCTGTCTTTGTGAGTTAGTGGCCCCAAGACATTCAGTAGCAGCCACCCACCACCCTCACCCCTACCCTCACCCCCACCCTCACCCCCACCCTGCCTCCGCTGCAGATCTGGTTTGTGACAATTAGCTTCCAGGGTGGCCTGTCTTTTTCTCTTATTTCCATTGGCTGAGAGTCTTGTATCTCCCAACCCAGAGCACCACTGGCCTACTCTGGGCTTTTTGTGAGTCTCCAGGTTCCTATCTGTCATGTGATACATGAGGGAGTCTTGGGGTGATGTTCATGGTTGGGTGTCATGGCTACACAGCAAGACTATGGCTGAGAAAATAAAAAGGACAGATATCTGCTGTATCCAAATGTCTCCGGGATGAGCCAACTGGGAAGGTAGGGAGGAGGGATGCAGCGGCAGAGTGCTCATTTGATTGTGCTTCCTCTTTATGGAGCAACTAGCTAACAAATCAAGGACCCAGGGCAGAGGATGTATTCAATGGTAGTGTTTGTGTGGCATGCCCCAGCACCAGGAAACAAAGATCAACAAGTCAGCCTGGGGTCTGTGAGGTGGCTCAGCCAGGAAGGGTGCTCGCGGCCACTGAACCTGACTGACCTGAGTTTGGTCACTGGAATCCATCTGATGATGCAAGGAGAGATCTGATTCTCACAGGTTGTCCCCAGACCGCCAAGTTCATGCTGGTACATGTGTATAAAAACACACACACAGACACAACACATTTTTTTTTTTTTTAAATTACCCCTGACTCTGTATCATGGGCACTCCTTGTGTGACAAGTAGTGACTGTTTATCTCCGGGGGAAATGACTTACCGTGACATTTGAAAAATAGTTTGAAAAATAGTTCCTTGCTTAAGTGCCGTTTTAAGATGGAGAGAATAAAACCATTTGTTTTTTTTTTTTTATTCTTGAGAAGTGAATTTTGAAGGAAAGAGTATAAGCATTGCAGTGAGGCAGAGCCTAGATTTTGTTCTTTCTAACGATGGCTGAGCCAAACCTGAGGTCTACCAGCCCCTGCCCAAATGGAAGAGCATGTGAGACACCCAGCCGACACACAGAATCTCAAAGTAGGAGAGCTATCATGATTGCTACAATATCCTGCACATAACATATACATGTATATGCAAACATTTACTTTTTTTTTTTCTGAGACTCTTACTATGTATCCCAGACTGTCCTGGCTTGATGCAGTCGAGACTGACTACAAGCTGTCAACCTTCTTGTCTCTGACCACTGGTTTCTGTTTTATAAATGTGCACCACCACAGAAGGTTCTATGCTAACCTTTTAATACAGTATTTTCTAATTATTTGGGGGTTTATATAGCTAGAGAAAATAAGGTTATTGTGTTTCTAGGTGTCCATCTTTTGAAATATTTCCGTTTTTAATTTTTTTTTTAATCATCCTAGATCCCATTCTGTCTGTTTGAGACAAGGTCTCACTCTTTAGCCCAAGCTGACCTCAAGCTCATGGCTATCCCCCTGTCTAAGCCTCCTAAGGGCTGATAATTCAGGGGTGAGCCACCACACCTGTCTTAGGTTCAACATTTTTATTTTTATTCTTTTATTTTTATGAATATAGGTGTGTTGCCTGCATGTATGTCCGTGTACCACATGTGTGCCTGGTGCCCTGAGACTGGAGTTACATGTGGTTGTGAGCCACCATGTGGGTGTTGGGAACCTAACCAAGCTCTCAGCAAGAATGGGCAGGACCCATAACCACGGAGCCATTTCTCCAGATCAGATTCAAACATTTTAAGATTTTATCTACTAAGTAAAAATTAATTATTTCATAGCTCACTGTGTGAAGATTTATCCAATGCAAAGAGAATCTTCTGGCATTTAGAAAACTCTGACTAAATGTAAAGAAGAAACAGGTCATCTTGTCAGCCCTACAGTGGCCCAGTGCCGAGTCTCTTGTCTCTGACACAGTGGAATTCAGCCTGTCACCATTTTTGTGCTCAGCCAGCCTGGTGTAGATGTGACTGCAATTTGCGACAGCTTTGGGCAGAACATTTAAATAGAGTAAGGGCCATGAGAACAACCACAACCCAGCCGGTGGCTAACCCTGCAGGCAGGTGACATTAGGATGTGCACAATCCCAAGCCCAGAACAATCGAGCTGTGTGTGGTCTCTTTTAGCACTCGGCTACAAGGAAGCCCTAGGACACATAGATTTCTACCCGAATGGAGGACTGGATCAGCCCGGGTGCCCCAAGACAATATTTGGAGGTAAGCATCATCTGTTATCTTTTGTAAGATGGTAGTTTGGAAAGGAATATTAAAATACCTGATAGCAGGGAGTGTAGAGGCAGCAGAATCAGAAGTTCAATCCCAGCCAAGAGGCCCTGTCTCAAAAACCAAACCAAACCAAACCAAACCAAACCAAACCAAACCAAACCAA